CCACAAATGCTGGCTTCCTTCTCAATTTCTTTTCAACTCATGCTTATGCAGTTAAGGTGGCAGTTATGAAAGCCAAGATGACAAGGAGCCTGAGTCTGGCAGATGTTAACCATCGGGAGCAGGAAGAGAGGAGATTAAGGAGAACGTTGGCTGAGAAGGATTGGTCATTGGGATTAATTGAGAAATGTCTTCAAATACCAACCAATAGAAGAGAGGGAAGCATGTATTTGGGGCAAGATGGGCAGCGGACAACTGGACTCGGGTCGCGAAGTTGGCGTCGCATCAGCTCTCGCAAAATACGAATGAAGAATGGAGCAATGGTTGCATCAGGACGGTGCATAAGAAGACAAAAGTACCCTTTACTCAGCGACGCGGCAACTTTCGGACGCACTTTGCAAATCGGGCTGCTGTAAGGCTTTGTGTGCATGCGGTTGAGTGTCTGTGGGAGAGACGTGGCGACTGGTACAGAAGAGCTTATTTGAACAGAAAAGTGCAGGCGACGGTTTGTGGTTCCAAGTGAGAACTGGCCGAACACACCCAACACAGACACCAGCCAGACTGGTCTAATGCCACACAGAACAACCAACACGCGGAATAGAAGCAACGAATGTAGGGAAAGTAAGTAGTGACAACTGGCGGCTGTTGGATAGAATTAGGCAAAGAGAGAGAGAGAGAGGAAGAGGGAGAGGGAGAGGAAGAGACAGAGGAAGAGGGAGAGGAAGAGGGAGAGGAAGAGGGAGAGAAGGAGGAAGAGGAAGAGGGAGAGGAAGAGGGAGAGGAAGAGGGAGAGGGAGAGTTGGAGAGGAGGAAGAAGAAGTAGCTCCGAGTCAAAATTGCATCAGTTTCACGCTGGTCGCCTTTTCAACGAGCATGTTGGCAAAAGAGAAGACATCAAACCCAATCATCGGAAGCGACAGAGTTAGGCCATAAAATGTAAAGCCAATCGACAATTGATCAAGAGGAATCGGACGTCGTCTTCTGGTGGGATCGAGCTTGGAATCTCTTCACCAAACACTTCCACTCGAAATGCAAGTCAGCTCAGCAATTATGAAACAAGTAGCTCCTCGAAACCCAACTCTTCTTCGCATAACATGTAGACAGGATGGCAAGTGTCTTTGTGTTTTGTTGAATTATCATAAAACATGGCGTTCTGCTCTAGCCAAGTCTCCGGGCCATCTCGATTCAACTTGAAGTGGAGCCAAATTCCAAGTACTTTGCATTCCCCGCTACAAACAAAATCAAAAGTGAACAACGTGAATGTATTAGAGGACTGTTGGCAGACCACTTTTTCTGCATATCGACGAAGCAAAGTTGTGTTTGCAATTGCCATCGTCTGCAATTCAGCAACCAGTCACCTTCAACGAAACGGACCGAATGCATGTCTTCTATGAGACCGCAATCCCAGTCCGCAAGAGGAGAATGGCCACCTCATCAGGCCGTCTGAAGTTAAAAATCGTTTGGCCTCGTTTCCCCAACTCGGTCGGGTTGTCAAGGCGACGCAGTTGCAGGCACCTTGTCCCAAGTCGTCTGCTCCAGCAGTTGTCATAATTCCGTGGACTTGGTACATCTGCAGACGTTTCTTCAGCATCATCAGTGAGAGGCGCCATCCTTGGAAATGAGTTTGAAGAGTTGTCTGTGAATGTACCAATTCCACGGTCCGAAGATGGGAATTATGACAACTACAAGAGCTGATCACTTGGCACAAGGTGCGATCAAGTGGGTCGCTCGGACAACACGACCAAGTTGAGTGAATTCATTTCGCTTCAAACGAAAAGTGCAAAGGTCTTGTGTTTGTCATGTTGCTTTTGTAGAGTCTTATGATCATTCCTACTTTCCAGTTGCGAGCCAATCGGTCAGTCTTCACTCGTCGCTGGCAATCGTCCGTCGAGTTCCTGCGAGGCCAATTCGCGATTCCTTCCCGCCACTTCAGCCTCAGAAACCAAGTTCTTCTTCGTACGTATACTTTGTGTTGGTTGAGATGACTTGCATTTCGAGT